GGGGGAGGGAGGCAGGGAGGGGCCCTACTCACCACGCTGTGTCCACCCTCACTCTCTCCTCTCCAGACCCTCCAATCCTACACAGACTTGGAAGAGAGAGGAGCAGAAGGGCTGGGGGCTCATGGCCACAGGCCATGGGAAGGGGGTCTGGCCGTAACTTTCCTTGATCTCAAGGAAGGGGTTTATTTAGTATCTGTGTGGCCACAGCTGTGGCTCTAGTAACCAATTCTGGGGCAACTGGAGATGTCCCTTCCACGTCCCCTCGGTTCTGGTGGGTCTTCCCTTCGGGAGCACCTGGCATGTGACCAGCAGCTTGGCACTGCTGGTGCCCAGGAAGGTGCCTGGCACATGACAGGCCCTTGGTAGCTGCACCCCAAAGGAAAGAGGCAGTTGGAAGACTCGTGGCTACCGCGGTCTCCTACTGAGTAACAGGAAGAGGAGAGGGCACGAGAGCTGGACCCTGGCTGACGCCATGTGCAGGGATCCCCTGACACCATCACACCATGCCTCACAATGACCTTGACAGAAGTCGAACCCCCGCCTGCGCCCAGTCAGGCCCTGGAGGAGGCAGGAGAGGACGTGGCTGTGAGCTGGGCCCTGGCGTCCATGAGCCTGGCCCGGCTGCCCCTTGGCTAAGTTTCTTTATTCTCTGACTCTGGCCCCTCATTTGTAAAAGTGGGAGGACAACAGCCTGCGTTGAAAGGACTCAATGAGCTAATACATGAAATGCACGCAGCTTGTGTAGAGACATGTCAGGTCACAGACAAGAGCCAGAGTCACTTCCATTATCGTCATTATCATTGGGACAACCCGGACAACCCGGGGCACTTTCCTCGAAGCTGGTGCCTGTGTACGACGTCCCTCTGGCCCCTGGAGGAGGGTGATGAGGTCCTCTGGGGCAGCGGAGCCGAAAGAAGCCGAGACCCCTGGGAGAGGGAGACATCCCAGAAGACCCCGATGCCAGACCACGGTCCGCAGCCTGATCTAAAAGGCAACGAGGAGCCTCTGTGGGTCTTTAATCAGGAAGTGGAACGACGAAAGTAGTGTTTTAGGAAGATTAATCTGGCAGCGGAGACAGGATGGGAAACAGTAGGCTCAGTGCTAAGAATGATGGCCGCTGCCCAGCTCACCGCGAGGCGGCTCATTAGCGGAAAGTGGCCCAGCCTTGGCTCCCGCGTGCTGGGGCTTCCCGGCAGCTGGGAGAGACCGAGCCCTCCATTAGGAAGCAGGCCCGGGGGAGGTCGGCAGAGGGCACTGTTTCGTCGGTGACAGTAGCCACCTCTAGGGAGCTCTGGCATCTGGACAGCCAGGGCAGGCAGCACAACTGAACCTGTCAGCCCCAGGCAGCCTCAGGCCATTCCACACACGGCACTTCAACTGCAGCTGAGCCAGGCCCTTTGGAAATGCACCGCGGGGTCTGCTCTCTCTGTGAAAGCCCTCGGGAAGCCTTGCAGTGTGGCCAGCTCCGTCCACTCTGACAGGGCGACGACCCCAGCACCAGCCCTCCACTGAGGGGGTTCCCGGGCTGCTCTGGAGTTGGCAAAACGGGCCCAGGGCTGCCCTGCCAAGAATGGAAAGTACTGCTGCTTCTATGTGTTTGCATTTAATTACAAGCTGCCATGGCACAGGGAAGTGCCGGGGCAAGTCCATCTTCTCACTGCCGGTCGGCACCGTCGGTGGAACCGTCCACCCGGCCCTTCACACCAGTGTGTGGAACACGTCCACCTTCTCCCGGTACAGGTGGTAGAACTGCTTGGCCAGGCAGTGGAAAGGGGCTTCGCAGTTTTCCATCTCCTTCTGTAGAGACAGTTTCAAGGTTGGCGTGTTATTTTTATAACCATACAGGGAGTCCGCGCTCTCAGTGCCACCTCCTATCAGGGCTGTCTACTTCCTGCCTCACCTCATCTTCACACTATCCAGGGCAGTTACTATCGTGATGCCAATTTCACAAGGAGACTTGGACTTGGAGAGATCAAGGTCACGTGCAGGAAGCCACATGCCTTGTAAATGGTGGAGCTAGGGCCTGACCTGGGTCTGTCTTCAGAGCCTGTGCTCTCAGCCACTCTTGCCATGTGTGTGACAGCATGTGAAAACGAGGCGTCCCTCACTCAGTTTTGACAGGGGCTTCAAAGGCCAAAAAAAAAAATGACGACAGTAAGTAGCTCTGCTTCCAAGGAAGAGAATGGCCCACCTTCACCTCCAGGTCAGGGTTGAAGAACCAGCGGAGAGAACTTTGAGCACGTGGGCAGTGCCCTGGCTCCTCTCCCTGGGGAGAGCGCCTCTCCCTTACCTCAAGTCAGTGGGAGGGTTTCAAGGAAAACCTGAGGCCTGGGAGGGTGAGGCTGGTGCCGGTCCCAGGCCTGGGAAGAACCGCGGGGGCCTGGCCAAGCCAGGAGAGGGGGCAAACAGGGCCAACCTAGAGCTGTCTTCCAGGGCCTCCACTGGGACAGCCTCTCAGGGTCCCAACAAGAACAGACAGCCAGGAACTGGCTGCAGGAGGGGTGCGGAGGGATCACCTGCGAGAGACAGCCTGCACACCTGGCAGGTGGAGAGCGCCCGCAGCAGACCCTAATACACATGCTGCCCTGCTTGCCCCATCTATCCCTGTTCCCCAAAGGCATCAAGAGGAGGTGCGACTTCAAATCAAGTTCGGGATTTCAACAATTGCCCAGGGCTGGGCATTTTAATAACTGAAATAATGAATATTTTTGTGACTAAAGGTACCCAAAGGACTTTTTATTATCTGAGAGAGACCAGAGTAGTTAAGGACCTTGCCCTAGATTTGAGGAGGAAAGAACAGGCCCTCCTGGATGCACACAGACAGGCTGCAGAGGACAGAAGTGGCACCCCCCACCCCACTCGACAGCCACTGCTCTCTTGCTCTCTATGGATGCCCATGGTGCTTATTGAACTCTTTTTGTTTTGAGAAATAAGTTGGCAGAAAAAAGAACCCACTATTTTCAAGAAAGTAGCTCAGACTATGAATGCACAAAACTTGTTTTGAAACGCTCCTTGGTAGTTGGCAAAAGAGCAGCCTTGGTAAGCAGGGTGATATCCCTGACTAAATGGAAGAATTTCCAAACTGAAAAACGCCACAGAAGCCAGCCAGCTCAGCACCCCCTCTCCCTAGATGAGTAGTCTGGGCCTAGGGGTCCAGCTAGCTGGTACAGAGCCCAGCCCAGCATCCAGATTCCCTGATGGGGGAAATACTGCCGCTCTGAGGCCAGCCGGGGTAAGATCCATGAGAAGGAAGCCAGGTCCTGGGAGAGGATACCTGGCCCTTCCAGTCAGGGAACTCCTAAGCAGGTGAAACAGTTGGCGAGGGCAAAGACAGAGGGGGCTGTGCTAAGGGTGGGCTGAGGACAGAGTGGACAGTTGGCAGTCAGAATGGGCATTTCTGCTTAGCTCACAACTACCAAGAAAATGAAGCTGTCACCACCTCTCTCCCCTCCAGGTCGGATGTAAGAGAAAGCATTGAGACAATGCCAACGTGGAGAGTATGACACTGCTTCCGCTGGAAGCAGTCAACACTGACGGGAAGGAGAGCGAGGCCTTCACAGCACATGCGACAGGGTTTCTGAATGGATTCAGAAGCACTCCAAATGCAATCTTGGGAGAACCCACATGAGAAGGAAGAAATTCAGTGCCCATGAGCCTCAACAGACACCATGGAGTGCCTGTGAAATAGATGGAAACGGAGCCACTTTCTAGATACATTAAGAGGGCTGCCAATGACAGGATCCTTTTGTCAAATGACTAATCATAATCTTGCTTGCATCGTATGGACACCTGTAGAGGAGGTCTGTCTGGAGTGAAGGACCCTTAGAGCAGTCGCAGACTCATGCTCACTCTGGCCTAGAATTCTGTTCCCTCCTCACCAACTCAGGGAGCAATCCCTAAGGACGGTTCTTGCACGTTTGCATTTAAAAACTGCCCGACTCCTTCTAGCAATGAATAATTTTTTTTAAAAAAAGTAACTTCTGTTTAAAGAAATGCTTTGTAATTTTTTGGCTTGAAAATTTCAAATATTGAGGGGTTTTAGAAAGAACTACATAGGTTCTATTTTCAAATATTGAGAGATGTTAGACGTATGTAGGTACTTCCTTCAGGTCAGCAAGATGATCACGGCTGCATTTAGGAAGAGGAGGAGACGGGCTTGGCGTTGGAACTTGGCCGCGTCTCAAGCTGCATTTGGTTATATTTCCTTTTTAATTACAGCTTTCTTAACCGAGCTGCTGGTGGCGCTTCTGTGAGCCTCGACTCAGGGGGGACTAGTTAACTTGCACAGTTAATACCAAGTGCTCAACTGCAGCCTCCTCAGCATAATTTATACCCACCTGTCTCGACACCTGAGCAGAGTTTAAATGTGCAGCCTGGTGGCCTTTGGTGACTAATGTGCTGGGGCTGGGAGTGGGTTTTAACCTCTGAGTTCTGGCAAGAGTTCCAGGGAACATGGGATACTGGGGCAAGGGGACAGTTCCACAAATGTGAATATAGGAAGAGGGAATGCGGAAGCCTCTCCTGCAGGGGGCACATGGCTGACTGCTCTGCGCAAGGGAGTCCTGCAGGTGAGATGGGGACCCACTACATGGGAATGCATGCTGAGCTGAACTTCGTTAATGGAATGTTTGTGATAATTGGACCAGAGGCAAGGGTGGCATTTATCCCCATACAAACTATGACTATAAGGATTTAGTAAGTAATAATAGTTACAAGATTACTGGGGGAACATTTACACTTTAAAAAAGCTAACATTCATTGAGTATTTACTATGCACCACACTGTGTGCTGTTTTATATTCACCAGCTGACTTAATTTTCATATTCATTACTCAATGAGGGACTCATTACTAAATAGCACACCCAGAATCCCAGAGCCAGTGTTACTAGCACCATTGGAGGTCAGCACCCCAGCCTGTGCCATGACTTTTTCTTGTTTTTGAGTTGGAGTCTCACTCTTGTTGCCCAGACTGAAGTGCAGTGGCACGCTCACAGCCACCACAGCCTCAACTTGCTGGGCTCAGGTGATCCTTTCACCTAAGCCTTCCAAATAGCTGGAACTACAGACGCATGCCACTGCGCCCGGCTAGTTTTTGTGATTTATTGTAGAGACAAGGTCTCCCCAAGCTGCTCAGACTGGTCTCAAAGCCCTGGGCTCAGGCAATCCACTTGCCTCGGCCTCTCTTGCTGGGATTACAGGCTGAGCCACTGATCCTGGCCCACTACTCTTCTTAAGGAAGCAGGCTACTTGGGGATTTAGAAAGTTCCCTTCTGTACAGCAGCCAAAACACAGTACCAGTCAAGTTTCTCAGGTGCAACAACAAAAGTGCCCGTGGCTTTGAGTCTGAGTAGAAGATGACCTCCAGGATATTAACTAGCCACAAAGCAAGGTCCAGCTTGGCAGGTCTCCCTGGCAACCCTGGTGAGGGGCACGGCAGCCGGCACTGTGGCCTCTGTGGGCTCTGAGATGGATGTTCTGGGCTGCTCTGGTTCCTGCAGGGTGGTCTTCACCTTATGCCCTTTCTAGCGAAGTGACATGTGAGGTGTCACATGCCTGCATCCTGACGGTAGAGAGGCTGGGACTTCAAAACACCCAAACACAGAAAGCATGTTCCCCAGTGCTAGACAGCCTAAATCAAGATATAGGTACTAAAGATGCAGTGGCAATCTTAATTGCACTAAGTGATGTTCCCACTTAGTGAGATCTTTTGCCAATTTCACTAGAGGGCACTTTGTGGTCTGCGATCACCTAGAGCAGCAGTAAGGTGAGGACAGAGAGCACCAAGGGGAAAGAGAAATCCTGGCTCAACCCCTCATGAGCCGTGGACCTCAGGCAAGTCACTGTGCCTCCCTGACACTGAAACGGAAACTGTGGGCCCATTCCTGGGACATGGGGTCGGTTGCGAGGGGCGAGTGAAATATTGTTCCCACAACACCAGAACCCATAGAATCTCAGGCAAACATCAAGGGTCATGATCACCAAACACAACATGCTTGCATTTCTTACTAGTGAGATACAGCCTCTCCCAGGGCAGGCTGGCTGATGTGCCTTATTGTAATGCATGGATAACTACTGCTATATTGAGAAAAGATCTCGGGCTAAGAACGTAAACATCAGCTCCAAATGAGACTCTGCATATGGCAGAATAACAACTCAATGCACGTGAGGTCATGTGAAAAACTGCTTTCAGTGGAGGCCTACTCCAGACTTGGCGCCAGAGCAAGCAGAGATACTCACCACGGATGTTTCAAAACATTCCAGGCCTTGGCCCAGTGCCCACGCCCGGGCCTCTGCGGAGTCCACTGCTCGTCGGCTGGCCAGGTCTGTCTTGTTTCCCACTAGAACACCTATTTAGAAGAGACCAAAACACGGCACTTCACTGCAGGAGTCTGGAGGACAGCAGGAGAGAGGACAGAGCAAGCACACTATTCCTGAGAGGCACAGAACGTCCTAAGAGAGTGGTTTCCTAACTTGAGGGGAGACCCCAGCAGGGAGAGCCGGGGTCTCACACTGGCCCCACAGGCCACAGAGAGAATAAAGTGGGCTTCACTTTCCACACACAGCTTCAGCTCATCTTTTTTCTGGCTTGTATATATCTGTTTCCCTTGTCTCCTTAAAAGGCTGCAAATGTGTGAAGGCCAGGGTCAAACTTATGCTAGCATTTGTGATCCTTCCTCACACATGAAGCAAACTTTAAAATGGTCATTAATGCTAATCTAAAGACTCGGCTCAGAGTCAGGGATTCAGAGGTAATTTAGTTGGGCTCCCAGCTGCATCAGCTGCAAATAATTTTTGAGCCTGTCTCTGGAGATCACTTTCCCTGGTCTATAATGAGAAGAATTTGTTGATCTCACATAGGGATGAAAAATAAACTGATTTAAAGCATTCAGAAGTGACAATAGGACTTGAATGTTTACTCGTACCCCACATACAAGAGAAAATTAGGAACTCTTCCCTGGGGCTAGCTTTCTAGAAACCACAACTCATCCTACAGCACCTTCCCCTGATCGTCGAGTCACCCCACAACCCTGCAGGACGGGTGCCATCACTCCTGTTATAGACATGGAGAGGTATGGGAACTCGTTGAGGTTTACATGGCTGCTGAGATGAGCCAGTGTGCAATCTAGGCCATCCAAGTCAAGGCCCCAGAGGCCCTCTCTTGCACCCATAGTACCTCTGGGATGCCCTTGTGCTCTTGGACTGAAGGACAGAGGTGCCACTGGGAAGTCTGATGCCCACCATGCCTACCTGGGAGGGAGCCACCTGGAGCCTGTGCCCGAGCCTTCTCCAGCCATTTGCCGCAGTTGGTGAACGACTGCTCACTAGTCACGTCATAGACGAGACACAAGACATTGGGACTCTCCCACTGTGCAGGAGAGACAGCATGAGCACCTGTCAGTCACAGAAAGCAACTTCGAGGCTAGGAGAGAATTTGGTCTTCCAAGGGAAGAGATGAGGGAGCAGAGGGAAATGAAAAACCATAAAGGGGGGTGTGAGTCAGAAGACAGCCACACCCACTGGCGTCCAACAGTCCCCCTAGGAGAGTGACCAGAAGGGCCATGCTCCGTGGTGGGCAGGGCTGTGGCATCACCACTGAGGACAAGGCGCATCTGTGCCAGGCCCTCTGTGGGGCTCTTCCATGCGGCACTGTGAAACCTCTCGATGTCACAGGATTAGACTGACAATCCCACTTTGCAGCTGAAGAATCCAAGTTCAGGGGAATAAATGGCTTGCCCAGGACAGACATGCTTTAAAAACGAAAGTGGCAAAGATGGGAGGACTGAGGCTTTTCTCTCCCCAGGAACCTGCGCTGGCCTACCATGGGCCTCGGCAAGCCATCATTTCCCTCATTCTCGACGGGGAGTGGGGGTGGGGAGCTGCCATTGCACGAACGAGTATTCTTTCTTTCATGATCAGTCCCTGGAAGCCTGTTTGCTTCATCTTCTTAATAAGGACTGGCTTTTTAAAATGCAAAGGACACTTTCTACTTCTCCTGCAGTGTCTGCATCAGCCTAATCCAAACCACACCGACAAATGGACAGGACTCGGTGACCCAATTAAGAGCCAGGGCTACACTCTCAGGGGATGCCGAATTTGGGGGCTGTTCAGAGTCCCAGGACGTCCTGCTGCCTGCCGCTGGGACGCAGGATGGCCCCGCGCAGGCTGTGGACGCTGGCCTGGTACATGCGACTCTTGGTCATGCCCTGCACAATTAGAGCCTGCTTTCTTTCTGGGTGTCAGTAACTTCCCAGGGTACGGGGCAGAATCTTTCCACCCCCAGATTGGATTTCCTTTCCAATCCTAGGAAGACCAGCCCAGGAGGGCTCATTCCCCACCCCATGAGGTCACGATAGCTCGGAAGGCATCCAGGATGGGAGAAGCTTGGACTGAGCTGAGGATCCCTTCAGCCCATGGACGAAGCGAATTCTCGGCAGAACACATGGAGCTCCCCTGAGTGCACGCAGGAGAAGACCTCTAGGCATGGTTTTAACTCAAGAAGTCTTCCTTCTTCCAGACTTCCACCTGGGCTCAAATTGGAGCCAGAGCAGGAGAACCAATCAGGGTTGGTTGGGTAGAGAGTGTGAACGGACTGGTGGCATTTGGCCCCAGTCTTGCCCAAACACATCTTCCCATCCTGCCATGGAGCACATTCATATGCCCAAGGCTATTCTAATAATGTTACGATGGGGAGGTGATCCAAGGTGGCCAAAAACGCCTTTCCTTCTGCCGGGCACGGCAGCCGGTGCCAGGCCAGGCACACGGTAGGCACCTGGTAAACATCAGGAGCCAACGCATGAAGCACACCTGGGTGAAATAACTGTCATCAGATCTACTTCTCCTACATGACAAAAAGGGAGCAGAAAGCAGTTTCCATTAAAGCGTGGCTGTTCTTGGAAAGGCAGGGAGGGCTCTGGAGAACTCAACCCCTCTAACTAGTTCACTGGCCCAGATTGGTGGAAGGCACAGCAAGCTGGGTCCTGAGAGGCTAACCGGGGGGAGTGGACAGGGCACGGCACCCTGGGCAGTGGCGCAAACCCCAGGGGAATGCCCCACAGAGCCCTGGTGTCTCCTCCAAGGGGTGGGCCAAGAAGATGGGCCTCCTCCCAGTCCTTCCCTCCCCCCCACCACAGAGGGAAGGGAGACACTTGACACTGTCCCAGGAGGCTGGGAAGGAGTGCTACAGGACATCATCAGGAGGCGGCTGCTCGACAGCAGGGAGGCCACAAGGGGAGGCCTGCAAGGACTGGCCACATTTCTCCTGGCATGCTGGAACCCACCCTCGATGGGGGACGGGGGCGGTCAAGTGCACCAGCCACTCCTTCTTGTCAAGAGGCCACAAGTCCTAGTGAGAGGAATGTCCCACAAAGAATCCTGCCATGGTGGTTTCTCTTGATAGCCACAGTGCAATGAAATATCTGTGTGAGCATCATTAGGGCAAGGCTTCCAGTGGGTGGTGGCGGTGGTTAGGAATCAAACCATGTGCTACTTGCCAATTTATCCAGCATTTCAGAAAACAGCTCCTTGCCAGCAGAGTCAAAAATGAAGAGTTCCTAGAATCAGGAAAGCAAGAAAGTCTCCACATGGGTAAAACACCAGCTACAAGTCACTGACACCACTCTCAGCTCACAAGGACTTGTCTCAGTGGCGAAACTCATCCACGCAAATGCACACACATTTTCATACACACTCTTTTCCCCAAGCACAGGAAGGGGATGGAGAAGGAGTGGACTCCAGAGTCCTAGACAGGCAGAGCACCCAACTCCCACACTGACCAGCACTTTCTGTGTGGAGTCTCACCTCTCCTAACCCCGAGTGCAAAAATACCAGGAACAAGCTGACTTCCCACCTGGCAGAACAGAATGTTAAACAGGCCGACAAGTGCTCTGGTTTCCAAAAGGTCATTCTGCACTTTGTTAACCAAATTGATTTTCAAATCTTAAAACAATTCTTTTAAAGGAGGTCATCGAGTAGGCCTGGGGAAGGCGTTTAAAGTAGGACAGTCTTTCATCACCCTGGGATGGTTCAGGTCCGATTCAGACAAAGGGCACAGGACGACCCTTCCTGCCTCTGTCCAAACTTTACCCAGTCCACGTGACAGCCCCCAGTGCTGAGACTCACCTCCCTAATCCCCTCCTGGCACTGGAGTATGGCCTGGCTGGCTTCTGACCTCGGTAGCACATGCCATCTGCACATCGGCACCATCACTTGCTCTGCATACTGGTCACCTGTGTGCTCGTCTTACCTTTCTCATTTCATCAGGGGTGACACACACACACACACACACACACACACACACACACTTTTTGCTCATGGACCTCTTTAAAAATCTGGTGAAAGCTACAAATCCCCTCTCCAGGAAAGCACACACAAACAAAACATCTTGCACCTCAATTTCAAGAGTCCTAGGTTCCCATAAAGGCACCTTAAAAACCTTGGCACTAGGTAACAAGTTCTCTGAAGGTCAAGTCCACATCCTAGTCTTCCTTCCCTCCTTCCTTCCTTTCTCCTCCTCGGTCCCATCCTTGAATGCTTCCTGTGTTCCCCAATTCAGAGGAGTTTAGGCCACATCCTCGAACTGTGTCTCTCCCGGGAAGGATGGCAGCAACCATGGGGACCCTAGGCCCAGATAAGGCAGTCCTGAGTTCCCTCAGGTCAAAGCACTACTCACCACACTGTCACCTGTGTCAGGAACTGGCACAGTTTTCACCACCAAATCCACCCCTGTTGTCTGCAAAGGAACCAAGAAGGGGGTATGTCACAGGGAACACACGGGCAGCCCAGTCCCTGGGAAACATCCCTGGTCGGAGGTTGTGTCCTAGACTCATTTTAGTGAAAAGTGGCTCAGATTACAGAAGTCAAACAACCAGCACCTCCACCTTCCTGTCCCTGAGAGAACTGTTGCACGTGGTAACCAAGTCAGGCATGGCTTGTCTGCTCTGCCCTTCACCCTGGAAGGGAGTCACCAGGGCAGCCTCTCGACAGGCCTCTCGGGCTTCTTCAAGGGTTGTGCACCACTCACTCAGGGTTAACCAATCAACTCTTTAACCAGGGCCAGGCCTTGCTCTCACAGCTCACCAGGGTGTAGCTCTTCTGGAAATGGGTGCCGTCGCTGCGGAAGATCTGTGCCAGGGCAGTCTTGCCCACTGTTGGGTCTCCTGTGAGGTCAAAGAGGAAAAACATTGCTTCAGTCCCCATCTGACTTGAGAATCTCATGCTGCAGAACCAAAGCTTCAATGAGTTTCCAGAGGAGATGCATGCGGCTCTCTCAGGAGTGTGTTCTGAGGCCGCGGGCAGGACATGGGTCCATGAGGCTCATCTGCAGAGCTTGCGGCGGCCGGGCACCCTTCTGCACCGCTAAGCCTTCCAGTCGTGGGAACTGACCCAGAAGGTAACGGAGCTTGCGGAGGGCTCTGGAGCCCTGGAAACAGAGCTGCCACTCGTCCACTGAAACATGCCCTGTGGGGAAAAGCTGTCACTTCCACACTGGAATTTCCTTTGAAGTCTTGGAGGTAAAGAAGTGTGACTGGTACAGACACGGAGACTCACCTGACAACAGATCCAACCTGCATTTAGAGCTGCCAACTGAATGCCATTTTTGAGGGGGGAGTTGGGAGGGGTTTCTGCAAAAAATGAAGCAAGATTATCAGAGGCTACGTTCCTTGTCCTGGAATCCACTTCCATGCGGTATGTTCCATCTCCACTGCGGCATGTCCAGCTGGGACCTCTGAGGCTTCACCTCCCGGGGGGCCTCTCTACCACCTCTATTTGTAATAGCAATCACTTCACACCAGCGGGGTTTATCTCCTTGGCTTTCCTTTGTTGGTCAACAGCCCTAGAAACTGGTAGCTCAAAACTAAAGGCTTATGTTGCAGTTTTCAGCCTGAACCTTTCATGAAATTGCTGAGTCTTTCATGTAATCTGGAGCTCCCCTGTGCCCATCACAGGCGCTAGAAACTCTCTCTGCTCATCTTCAATTCCCCTCGCCCTCCCCACAGGCCATATCATCAGCTTCCTTGGATGCCAGCTGTTCTAATTTGCAATGCCTCTTCCACCCTGAGAGTCTTCCATCGATTCCTGCTCCACCGCCCCCAGAACGCCTGTCTCTGCCTGCTCGCCCACTTGATCCCTAGCAGAACCACCACGGCACCTCAGCCTTCAGGGTGCTCCTGCATCCACTGGTATCCTCTCTTCTCCGTTGTGCCCCATCTCACAGTCACTTCAGTGCTTCCCTTTCCTAGACTTCTCGACAGTCTGCCGCTCTGTTCACTTTCCCGTTTTGACTTTTCCTACCTATAATTTTTCGCTAGTAAGACAACTGTCTGACTACTCCTGGCATCTCCTTTTATGTGAACTCCTCCAGGTCTGAGTGAGCTATTCAGGCCTTGCTTTCCTATCTGCCACAGCCTCTGAGAAGGGAACCAACATGTGTTGAGCCCTCATGAACCTGTTCACACAGTCTCGACCCTTCCTTCCCACTCTGTGCCCCCTGCCCCTCCCCATCCAGGCAAGTATCATTAACCTCATCTGACAGACGAAGAGATGGAGGTTCAGAGAAGCTGGTAGCCTGCCTAGGGTTCCAACCCCATGCACTCTCCACCAGACCCCGCTCCTCCCCCAGAGCTCAGGGACCACTTCTGACCCACTTTCCAGGCTGCCCCTCCAGGCCCACAACACTGCAGCTGCCCACGACGCCTGGGGCACCACAGCCTGGGCTGCCATCGGGTGCCCATCTATCTCAGGGCAAACAGTGCGTCTCTTTCCTTCTTGGGGCTGTGGCTACATCCACCCTCCCAGCTCTAATTTTGCTCCTGAATCCAGTTGGAAACTGGCTCCTCCTGCTTGTGAAATTCCCCACGGATTTGTTCTGCTTAATTTCATAAATCTTTCTTCTGACTGTCAGTCAGAGTCCCCGACACTTACAAAAACCTTCTGTGTCGGCAATGAGAAGGGATCCGAACATAGGCAGGGGAAGAACCGATAAACACATCTGCAGGGCAACACGGTGACAAGTGCAAATTCAGACAGCTCCAGCTGAGAGCCAACGCATCAGGGGAGCACGGAGGAGAGAAATGGATGAGGGATCACCACTGTGGAGGGCTGCCCCAGGGCCAGGGCTGAGCCTGGGGCGACTACAGGGGGGCTCTGCCAGACAGATGGAGACGTCTGCAGAGGTGCAACGCAAGGGCACCGTGACTTCGTGATTGCCAAGTCCATGGTCTCTTCTCAGTTCCCATCTTCCCTGCCGTCTCTGAAGGATGTATGTCAGCCTGCAGCAGCCCCCTTCTGAGCCCTGTGGCCTGGTGACCCTACTCCGGCCTGGCTCGCCCAACACACTGCCTCCCAGTGCACTCGTCCCACTCCTCTGGCCACCCAGACTGCCACTTCTCTAGGCAGAACTCGCTCCCAGGCTGTATCTGCGTGTCCAAAAACCTGTGGCTGTGACCACCAGGACGATGGGCCTCATCCAGTCTCGGTGTCTATGGCCAGGCTGGTGTCATGTCCGGTCCTAAACAGTTTGCCCACTTAGCCCACTCTTTCTGTTCATGACGCCACACACCGTCGCTGTCTCCATTCAGTCTGCCACCTCTACCTGCCCCTCCTCCTACCTGCTGGCGCCGCCCCCTTGCATTCCTCACATCCTCTGCAGTGTCCCAAGCCCCTCTCCTGCTCTTCCTGCTGCCACTGTGCCAGTTAGCTCATCCCTGACCTTCAAGCCCACCCTTCCATGCTCTGTGGGGGTGGGGATGCTGCAAACATTCTTCTCCTTTCCAGGAGCTTCCTGTTAGGCTGTTTTTCTGGCACTCCCAGGCCAGCCTTCTTATGGCCCCTCCGAGGTACCAGCATTGTGGAGAAGCGCCACCTTCTTGGAGAGCTGCCCCTCAGCTCCTGCGTCCCTGTCCAAACTTCTAGGCACTGATAAGCCCACCCCCTTCCCTCTGCACCCCACCCCTGGAGACACTGTCCCTTCCTGCAGTTATTGCCTGTGTTGCCTCAGTGTCCCCCTTTTGTCCTTCCTGTCCTCCAACACCCGTTTATTCAGTACCTACACTAAATCCTCCCTGCTCAAATACCTACTATCATTTCTGGCTTGGGCGTGGACCCTACTTATGTAACCCCTGGTATGAGGCGTGCTCTCCAAATACAGACTCTCCAGGATGGTCAGGAACTGGTCTGGTTGTGTCTTGCCCGAAGATAGGGCTGAGCTCCTTCCAGTGGGAAATGGGTGATCCACAGCACGTGGTGGTGTCACACGGCGGGTGACTGAACTCCTGAGGTGCCAGTGCCAGGCGGGCAGTGCCCTCCTCCAGAGGTCTGGATCCCAGCTCTCTGGGACTCTTTTAGCTTGACCTCTGCCTACTGCTCTGTGCCATCTCAGTGCTGCCTTCCCGCTTTTTTAGTTCTCTGGCACCTAATGAATCAGTTCCACAGGTTAACATTTCTCTGCTGAAATGAATGCATTTCCTGTTTTTTTGACTGTGCCTGGACTGAAAACACTGCCCAAGTGGCCCTCCCTCTCTCTCCTGTCTTCTCCTGGATCGAAACCAGCCTGAGCATGGCATCAACAGACAGACCTTCATGAAACAGTGCTTCTGTCCTGTCCAGCCTCCCACAAAACCCATTGAGGTTCCCCCACAGCCTACCCTTTCTCAGTCAGCCTTAACGCACCTTCCACCTCTCTCTCCAGCAACCCCTTATCTGAGATCTCAGCTCTGCACTCCTGTTCACTCAGTCCCTGAAAACTCCTCAAAGCCACCTCCTTCCAAGTTCAAATCCTGCCCACTCATGTCAGGAAAGGTCAAATAATAACCTTCCTGCACAGCCTCTGCAGGTCATCTCTGCCTCCCTTGTCTTGACCTGTGTGCTGTGTGGCTAATGTGGACCAGTGCTGCTGACAGTATGAGAATTGATGTCCGAGGAACCCTCCTGGGAGGCATTATTATCACCTCCTGTGTGTGGAGGTAGAATGCCACAGTAATGAAGGGCACAGACTCCAGAGCCAGATTCCAGCTCTACTACCTTCTAGCTGTGTGACCTTCAGTCACTTAAGTCTCTCTGTGCCTCAGTCGCTACACCTGCAAAACAGGATCATAATAGTGTCTACTTCACAGAATTGTTATAACGATGGAATGAGTTCATACATACAGTGCCTGGCATATAGTAAGTACCATTTAAGCGTTTTTAAATGAAATAAAATATAGATAACTGTCAAGTGTTGCTTTCTCTCTTCATCTAAGCCAGAACAAGCAGCAGCTGTGCTCTGAGGTACCTCTCCTGTACCTGCACACAGACGGCACTCTGTGTTCACCGCACTACAACTTCTCATGTGCATCCTGGCCTTCTTTGAGTGTGGGGCGGGGGGCAGAATCATCCTTGCATTCCCACTGTGCCTTGTGTGGTGACTCACACGTGGTAGGTGCTCAATAAACAGCTGCTGAATGTATACACACTCGAACTGAATATCAGGTTCATCAATGACTAGTAATGTAAGGGGGAAAAAAGACAGAGTAACTCCGTTTAAACAGTGAGGTTGGGGCTGACTTTTGGTCCCTGGAAACCTCAAAAGGAAATGGCCTTGAGGCCTTGGGAGGAGGCTGCCGACTGAGAGCAGGCTGGAGTTCAAGAGCTGCTCAGGCGACGGCTGCAAGCAAGTGACAGGTGTCCAAGGAAGGGGGATGCAGAGGAGGCCAGCGTGAAGACAGCACAGCTTGGGCTGAGAACAGAACCCTGGAAATCAGATTGCCAGGGTCCAGACTCAAGGTCTGGATCACACAGCTCTATCACCTCCTGCTGTGTGATCTGTAGCAAGTATCTGCACCTCCCTGGGCCTCGGTCGCCTCATCTGTAAATGAGGATGACAGTAATACCGACCCCATAGGGTTGTTGTGAGGATTCAGAGACGCCCTGTACTGAGAGTCTAGCACAGAGCTGACACACAGAAGTGACCAGTAAGTTAGTTCCACAATGGAAACAATTTAAAAAGAAAGAAGAAGGCCAGGCTCGGTGGCTCAGCCTGTAATCCCAGCACTTTGGGAGGCCAAGGCAAGTGGACTGCCTGAGCCTGCGGGTTTGAGACCCACCTGGGCAACTTGGTGAGACCTCGTCTCTACAATACATCAAAAACTAGCTGGGCGTGGTAGCACACGCCTGTAATTCCGGCTACCTGGAAGGCTGAGGCGGAAGGATCGCCAGAGCCCAGCAGGTTGAGGCTGCGATGGCCGGGAGTATGCCACTGCACTCCATTCTAGGCAACAGAATGAGACTCCAACTCAAAAAAAAAGAAAGAAAGAAAGAAGAGAAAGGAGAGAAAGGAGAGCCAGAGAGAGAAGCCCACCTTAAAAAGATCTAACTTCGGAAAATAAAAAATGTTCCCACCTTATCTGTGAGGAAACTAAAGCTCAAAAAAGTGCTTAGTCCAAGAGGACACAGCCAACAAGAGGAACAGGCAAAATTATTTTTGTTACACAATACTGCCTCCCCTGGTGCTCTGGAAACTGGAGATTCTCTTGAGAACCACTAATTTCTTTTGCTCCAGTATGATTTGGATACTATTGTCAGTCATCTTTCTGTGTAACCCTTTTATTTTCAAGTAAGAGAAGTCATTAAAAATATTATCATTTACATTTAGTCTGAGAGGAACTAAAAAATAAAAGGAATCTCTCTTTCTCTATATAATTTCTTATCACTCCTTTCCTGAGCTGGTCAGGGAAGCCTGGAAAGGTGATAGGTTTCAACAGTAACACAAGCTAAGAGTTTTGGAGCTGAGCAGATCTGGGGGTTGAAATCCTGTGTATGACCTTCACTAGGGGCTGACCTTGGCTGACACCTCCTAAAGCCTCAGTAAGACCAGAACAGGATCTACACCAGTGTGCTACAGCGAGATGTTATGTGAAATACGTGCACCTAGCAAGCAGTAAAGACTCTGTAACATACATATGTGTTCTGTAGTCATGCGCCTATAATTCAAGCTATTGTTTTTCTAAATGTGCGGACTGACCCATGGGGAACACTACAAAATGTGCACGACACATATTCATTCATTCTCGAACTACTTATTGAGTACCTACTATGTTTCAGGCTTTATTCTGAGTGCTTGGGTTATACCAGTCATTCCTGCCTTTGGGAGACTCAATGTTTATGTCCTCCTGGGAGTGGGACAGCACAGTAACTTTGGGTCTCAAGGACAAAACAAAGGTGCCTTTTGCAAACTCTGGTCACTATACATTACTATCTCCTATCCCTGTTATCAGAGGGGCTGGGGTCTGGAAATAAAAAACATAGTAAAGACTCAAAGTCATTGATGCTTAACTTTGGGGTACAGTAAATGCCTTAGCTGAAGCACTTAATGGCTTTCCTTTAAGTTGATTTTTTTAACGAGTCTGCTCCTCCAGATTTTTAAGGTTTTTTTTTTTTCTCTCTCTCTTTTTAACGAGTCGGCCCAACTGGGGAAAGTGGTCTCAGCGTCTGACAGAGAGCAGGGGGAATCAGCTGGAACTACGAACGTGCCCTGCAAGATAATTCTTCCACGGCTAAGGTAATTTACCCTATCAATAATTGCAGTAACTTGCCTCTGGGAGAGACAGAGGCAAAGGGGGTAGACAATTTACGAGAACAAAAGCTCTGGATAAATTACGAAGGCTCTGGACTCCGGAGACCACTGTATTCAAGCGCAAGTTTTCAGACTCACCTGCCAGGATGCATTTGGCTGCCAGCTTCACCATGGTAACCAACCACTAGCACGGACCAGAGAGCGCAAGAGCGGCTGTTAGAGGCTTTGGTGGGTGGGCTTCGGGCCCTGGGCCGGGGAAGCGGGGCGGGCTGACCTCAAGGCCTGGGCCCGGGTGGGGATGAGGATATACAGGACCTAGCCCTCCCGGGCAGGACTAGGGCGCTTCTCCGGCGCTCGTGGGGGGCAGGAGGGCTCCAGACGGGCCCGGCTCAAGGCCCCCGACGGCAGCCCGGAAAGATGCAAGCGACGGGACGCGGCTCCCGCTCCTGGCCCAGCCCCTGAGCCCAGCCCCCGGCAGCGAGGTCGGGAAAGAACAACCCACAGCCCGTCGCGTCCCAAGCACCGCGCCGAAAGCGCCCTTCAGGCAACCATTGACCACCTGCCCCGCCTCCTCCTTGCTGACTCTCGATTGGTTGCCGCCAAAAATTCCCACCCTCGAGGGCCTGCAAAGACCCAATGAGAGTATAGGAGACGAACTAGCCACCCTTGGTTGAGATACAATTCGTAGTAAAATCTGCTCGTCAAGCCATCCTGCTTGACGAATGGTTAAAACTGATGTCAGTCAATTCCATCTCCCGCCCCCGCCGCACCGTAGAGTCCGGGATGAAGTAGCTTCATCAAGTATCCCAAGCGGTGATAAGAGAAGCTTTCTGATTGGCCAAGGCCGGCTTGGACCATCTTCGGGAGGAATAGGGATTCGCCCCACGCCCCTGCCCTTTTGGAAGTGGGTCCGTCCACGAGGAAGCCGGTCGGACCTGGAGCCGCGCCTGCGCAGTGGACCAGGCCGCAGTTGCGGGAGCTGAGCTCAGCGCGGATCTGACTTCGCATAAAAGTTCACGTTGCTTTCCCAGTTCCCGGCTTCCGGGGAGGGCAGCTCCAAGGTGCATAGAGAAATCCAGTCATTGTCCCGCATCCCGCAGGGAAAGCTCATTTTAGAAGCCCAAAGATGTTAGGCACTTTAAAATCTAAAATATGCAAGTGTTTAAAGTGATGTCTGTGAGCAAAAGGGAGAACAAATAAACTTTGATGAGGCTGAGCCATTAAACTCAGGGATTTGACGCCACACTTTCCTTGGTCCATTTCCACTCTTGAAAAATGGAGAAAGCATCACATACCATATATTTCATGAAAGTGTGTAGTCGAGAACGTTGCCCATCACACAGGGAGGCTCTGTAAATGTCAGTTGACTTTCCTGGGGGCCTCTTGCTTTGTGGACAGGTGGCCAGAGACTTAAGTCACTTCCACCTCCCTGGCTTGGGCAAGTCACCGCATCCCTGAGCCTCTAAATATGGGCCCAGAGGAACCTACCTTGTGGGGTGTTGTAGGAATGGAAAGAAAGTGTGTAAATTCCTGGGACTTAGTAGTGCTCAACAGGTACTTGTGGAATGACTGAATGAGAGGACGCTCATCTGGACAGATATGGTTTACCATCACTGTCATAGGTTGGTCAAGTGCACCCTGTTCTCACTCTCACTGGGCCCCTGGAATCTCTGATGGCCGATGCTTAAAGGGAAGAGCAGCCCCTCAGCGAAGATGCCTGTGCTAAGGGGTCACATTCTCTTCAGACATTCGGTCCTCTCTTGGCTACTCTGTCTGCCCCAAGGTGGCCACCTGTGCAGGGCAATGAACACACACACACACACACACACACACACGCACGCATTGAGCTCCATGTAGTTATACATCTGGGGGCAGCCTCTGAAGGGTCAGTTTCCTCATCTGCTAGGGGAGTAATAATAGCACCTCTTACAGAGCTGTTCTCTGTATCTCACCTTCTGTCTCCCTTTTGTTGCTGTTACTCTGTGTGATCTTAGCTGGCACCAATTATTGTAAGAGCGCTTCAGGCCAGGCACAGTGGCTCAAGTCTGTAATCCCAGCACTTTGGGAGGCCAAGGCGAGAGGATTGCCTGAGCTCAGGGGTTCCAGACCAGCCTGGACAACTTGGTGAGACCTCGTCTCTACAATAAATAATAAAGGCACATGTGGCAGTGTGAGCCTGTAGTTCCAGCTGTTTGGAAGGCTGAAGCAGTAGGATCACCTGAGTCCAGCAGGTTGAGGCTGCGGTAGCTGTGAGCATGCTACTGCACTCCAGCCTGGGTGACAGAGTGAGACTCCAACTCAACAAAAACCAAAAAACATGAACACTTCAGAACTTCCCTAGATACAGTCCCAGTGGCCTTCTGTACATTCTTGGTGACTAAAGGCCAGCTGAATGACTGAGAGTCATTGGGTGTAGTGTGGTCAGAGAATTGTGGAGCTATGAGCACTTCTGGGTAATGCTAGTCCAATCCTTCTCTGAGCAGCTGCAGTAGCTACAACTGGCCTATGTTGAGCCTTACTGCATGCTGGCCTGGTTTTAAATGCTTTTAGAAATCAATTAATTTAATATTCACGTTCACATTTGATATTTACGATAACACTTGTGAGGCTTGTTATCATCCTCACTTGATAGAGGGGAAACCAAGGCCCCATTGAGGCTAAGTCCAATGCCAAGGTCACATAGCTAGTGAGCAGCACAGCTGGAATTTGAACCCCCTTTCACACTTCCTCCTCCTCCTCCACGGTGCTTCTTCCCAAAGCCAGGGACTGGGCTGTTTGGGCTGATTATGGGGGCTTTGGTAAGAGAGAGGCGAAGGGGCCGCTGCTGACAAGTTGTTTCGAGAAACTGTTCAATCATCCTGGCACCAATCCTCAGCACCACTGATACTGGGGGTTGGGTAATTCTTCGCTGTGTGGGTTGTCCTGAGCACCTTGGGACATCCTGGACCTGAATGCCTCTGACATCCCTGACAAGCAGCATGCCTGTGAGCTGCGGTTCCTTGCCAGGGACAGCTGCAATATTCCATGCACGGCAGCTGGGTTGATTGGGCCGCTGCAGAGCCCAGATCCCTCCGCCATTGTGCCGTGGCAGCCAGGGGCTTCTCCCTCTGCCTGGGCCCCAACAGAGCCTCATCGCTTACAGATTGTAGTAGCAAGATAGTTGAGTTTTTAGGGGAAATTAGTGGGGAAAGGCCTCTTGGGAGATATTCTGCATGAATTCTCAAGAATACCTTTCATGCATTAAAGCAGACTTGCTCGAATGCCATCATGCCAGAGGGCAATGCCTAAAAGAGAGGGCTAGCAGATTTGGAAGGATTCTATGTATTTAGATCAGGGTTTCTCCACAGCAGCACCATTGACACCGGGGGGTGGATAATTCTTCGCTGTGGGGGCTGTCCTGAGCACCATGGGACATTCGGCAGCATCTCTGACCTCTACCCACTAGATGCCAGAATCATCTCCCTTGCTGAGTCAACCAAACATGTCTCCAGACATTGCCAAATGTCCCTGGGGGCAACCTCTTCCTCGAATGAGAACCATTGACGTGAATGTATGAATTCAATGAGTGGATGATACTGATGTTAAGAGCGAAACTCACAAGGGCTGGAGACTCAGGCTGCCTGGGCGGGAACTCCTGGCTTGCCACCTACCCTCTGTGTCTCCATCTCCTCCTACGGCCCCAGTGGCCCTGCAGGGCTCAGAGGAGTGACCACAGGCAGGGGCCCAGAACACGCAGACTCATGGTGAGACTCGGTGGACACCAGCTCTGGTTAGCAGGCGTTGGGATGGCGATGAATCCCTGGAGGGGGGTTTATAATGCGGCAGTGGAGTCCTGTTTGACAATTTCCTATAATGCACCGTGTCGCATCTGGTACACTGCCTTCTCCTGGTAATGACCTTTGCTGTTCTTTCTTCTGCTGCTCACGTGGGCCTGGTTGTTTATGTCTCCACTGGTGCAGTGCTTGGCGGTGGCCATCTCAATAAAGGGCAGAGGAAATGGGACTGACTCACCTTCTGTGCGCCCGGAATGCAAAGTGGGGCCCTGCGCGGTGGCCTCGTAGGGGCACGGAGGCCGCGATGCCCCGATCCCGCCAGCAGGGGGCAGCAGCAGCCGGGAAAATGCCTGCTTGCAGGAGGGTCCGAGGGCTGCCCGCCCTTTTGATTTACTTTGCAGCTGCCTTTTTTTTAAGTTGAGCCAATCATCCTTCCAGAGTGACCCGAAGGCCTCCTTTAACAGTCCGAGATACCTCGTCTGCAGACGTCGAGAGCTGCTTTTCCAGAACGTTCCCTCTTCAGCATCTCTGCCCATTTGCTCAACCGACAGCGGACCAGAGGCTGACAACTCCCCTGGGCATCTCTCTCCCTGGCAGTGCTGCCATTTGCATCCCAGAGTCCTGCTGGAGGCGGCACCCGCCCCTCCCTGCTCCCTTTCCACACATCACACAAGCCTGTGGGGCTGTGTTCATGGAGGGGACGAGTAATTCCAGATGGCTCAGGCCACCTTTGGCTAGAGGCCAAGTTAAGCGGGTCCCTGTGGCCCTACCCTTCTTTCCGCCTTCTCCAGCCTCCACCCCCCATAATGCCCTGGAGCTGGGTGACACAGTGCCCACCCCAGGCAGCCGAACCCATGCCTAGGCTCCATCTTTGCTGGCTGCTCATCTCCCTCGACATAAAAGCGTGGCAGCCTGGAGTCTCACTCCCTCGGAACACCCCAGAACCCACTGTGAGCCCCCTGTGTTCCATTTTCTACCCAGCACCCGCATCATCTTGAAAAAATTTTAATTTTGTAGAGACACTCTCCTCCTGAGGTTTAACATTTAAAAGATAGACAAGCATCTACAGGCTGGGCGTGGTGACTCACGCCTATAATCCCAGCACTTTGGGAGGCCAAGGTGAGAGGATTGCCTAAGCTCAGGGGTTCAAGATCAGCCTGGGCAACTTGGCAAGACCTCATTTCTAAAGTAAATCAAGAAAAATTAGCTGGGCGTGCTGGTGCACACCTGTGGTTCCAGCTACTTGGAAAGCTGAGGCGGAAGGATCACCTGAGCACAGCAGGTGGAGGCTGCAGTGGCTGTGAGTGTGCCACTGCACTCCAGCCTGGACAACAGAGTAATATTCCAACTAAAAAAAAAAAAAATCTACGCATCCCTCCTCTCCCCCATCCCTTCCCCTGGCCTGGAGTTCCCATCCCCAGGGGCCACCACCCTTAACAGTCACTTGGACACAACTCCAGAGGAATTTTACATATGTTCTGGCACGAATGTGCACGTACATGCTTTCTTTCTCTCTCCTTCCTCCTC